CGATTTCCCATCAAAGGCACCACAGCTTTCCTGGGAATCCTTTTCTATTAGGTACCGGATATCTTAGTGTCGCTTTTCTGAGTTCAGGAAGTTTTGGGGCCGATTACTATGGAAAATCAATATCTCAGAAAGTCTTTTTGCTCATTAATACTGCGAAATATGTTGCTTATTGTTTTCTATTGTTGGTTCACAATTTAACTTTCCCCAATTTTTATACTTTTTTGAAAATTCCTGGGTCCAGTGTGCAAATTCGCATGTGTGTACCAAATGCTTCAAAATTCTTGCTGAGAGCTACAACTTCCGCCCACCAAACCAACATTGCATTTGTTGGAGGGAATACTACCATTTAAATGCTCATCGGTTTTTCACAGTTTTCTGAAAAGACAACGGCCCTAGTTAAATCAGTCGAGACGGGGCTGCACCAGTCTTGTGCTGAAATGGTAGGACACCTTAGCAGTGACTGATCGATGATGCACAAACGCTTTAACGAAGTTGATTGCACAAGAAATTCTAATAAATGTGCTCATCTGCTACTCACGTGTGCTCAAAAAGGGTGCGTTTTTGACCCTATGTGGCAAAAAAGACTCCGGGAAAAATTGTCCAGTTGAGCTGGTAAGTTATAACTTTTCCACCATACAGTGCAGACCCTACTCTAACTAACTGTATACTTCTTTTGTCCAGGCCTAACTTTTTAGCAAGTGAGAGGGATGATTTGTCAGATGATGTCAAAACCGACCTACCTCTCTTTTTCGACTCAAAAAATTCCTAGCTTTAATCGTACGAGGTTTCCACTCATACTGGTAAATGGGAAAGTGCTAATGAGTCATTCGATGAATATGCTGTTTCACTCCCCGGATTCTGAATTAAAATATTGGTGGTCCGAAACTCGTGGTGAAAAAACGACACTAAGATATCCGGTACCTAATAGATTTTCATATTGATCACCATGCTTTCATCGATAAAAATCAATGGAGGCTTGCTGTAGGAATTGATACAGCTGCGAAATCATCAGACGGTCAGGCAACGGAACCTTTGCAGGTATCTTCCAATTACGAATTTCCCAGGAGTTGGACTGAAAAGTTGAGGGCGATTTTGATTTTTAGCGGCTTAACCGCGAACTATTTTTGTGAAACCGGGCGTACTAGGATAGCTGCCCTCTGAATAATTTCATAACTTATATTTGCCCTTCCTATCCTGCTTTGTGTGAACGTTGGAACTTGTACGTTTAACGAACGATAACGGCCAACTCCTTCCTTGATTTTTTCTATTAGTCGAATAATACGTGAGCTGTGACCGCCTACCGCGAGACGTGGTGCGCCGCGGGCATAGGATGTGAAATCAGCCAGCCGGATTGATTGGAGTATAGACTGCTGTCACAGAGCTAAATGTCTGGCTAGTTCGAAAAATTCGTCCAGACACGCCTTTTGCTCGAGCCAGTGAAGCTAGCGCAACTTGATTTCCCGTGCCTTTACCTAAACTTTGCTCTAACGCTGCTGGCTTCCAAGGCTATCATTCTCTGCTCACAACTTCCGGAGCCAATGGCGACAGACCAGTCAGAGTCATTATTTTGGTGCTACACATGTTACTACAGGCTTTGTTAGCAGTATCTCAGAGAAAAAACTCTAAAAAATGACTGTGGTGAATAAGCCTCATCACTGATCAGAAGTATATGTAGGTGCAGCCAGGGTCTGTCCTATCGTTGTTACTTTTCGAAAATTTTTTACGACCCCCCTCCCCCAACGTGGATTTGATACGACCCCCTTTTCCCTACTCAAAACCCCGCCCACTTTTTCCTCCAAAAATGCCGTCGAGCGGGGGGGGGTAAATAGATATTTCCGAAAATTTCCCTTCTATTTCCACTATTTTTACCTATACTCCCACTACTTCCTTCTCTAATACTTCCTTTTCTAAAAGGGGGAGAGATATATACGCCCGCTGAAACAGCAAATTTTCTCAATCCCACACGTGATTTCGAGCGACTAAAGTGGGTACGACCCCCCCCCCTCCTACAAACTCAACCAGGTACGACCCCCCCCCGTTGTTACTCGTAACAACGTAGGGTTGACCCTGGGTGCAGCCCAATTTCGCTCTGTGAATGATCATTGGTATCACACAACATTGGTGAATGCAATATAAACATCTTTTGACACGTTTGGCAGCGTAGCAGGAATTCCGTCATTACTCGAGACAGCCTAATAACATGCTATACTTTCAGGCAAAATATCGGCAAACCGGAACTGCAACGCTACGTGTTCCGAAGTTCAAAAAATAAAACCGTTCCTACCATTTGCGTCTGCTGGATGTCGATTTTGATGCGCACATTCACTGGTTGTCCTGGAGGATATGATCGATTCGGTGTCAAAAGTGATCTTGGAATACTGGCGACAGAGATACCTATGCAGGCAAGGACCAGAATCATGATGGGGACATGTTCGGAGTTCAGCATCGATGTTTATCATCATCCTATCGAAACCCAATACGCTCCTATCGTCATCGCCGAATTCGTCAACAAATCATCGCAGGGATGATATGTAGGGATCGTGATCTGATGAAGAATGAGGTTGTTTCTTGAGGTTGTTTCCAGAATTCCCAAAGGACTGTGGACACTGTTTCATAATGATACGTGTAAGGAAGCTTGATCTCTTAGGAATGCTTCTGTCGAAGCTTCTATTATTTCATTACTCTTCATCGATTTTATGATGACTTGCGATACTCCTCTTGCATATCTACTACAGTAAATAATTTTTACAACGATGTATAACGAAATCTTGTGTAACAAAACTGGTGAATAAACAATAAAAGCATGGCGACTATCTGAAGTGAAGAAAATAAAAATCGGAAGTGAATTCGGTAGTCCGAGTCATGTTCATCTGAAGTTCCTTCGGGAATGGAAACGTTTCTTGACATTCTTTGAAAATCCAAATTCATTGAGGAGGAACAACAGTAGTTGCTCTCCAAAATGAGGGCCATTAATTCTATGACTTCCTGCCAGTTTGGCTGGTACTAATGTGAAACTAAAGTGAGCGCAACGGTCGTGGAATCATGTATCTTTTCTATGGGATCTAGTGTATGCCGCGATCCTTGGTCTGTTACGTCTTTTGCGGGTTTTCAGATTTCGCACACATTGTTACAATCCGTCTCCCTGACCTCCTTACCACACCACTATAACAATAATACAATCCATACATGAGACATAGAATGCCCACGTGAAATACATTAACACATTCACGCCGATGGCCGCCCATATGGGCTGCCAACAACATGCGCTCCTGGGACGATGGCAGCCCATATGGGCTGCCAACTGATAATCGCTTGCCAGGCGCTAGGAATGGACAGATAGGTGGGCAAACCTCGTAATCGAGTGTAAAATGCTTTTAAATTCCTTCACGGGGAAAGTGAATAAATGCTCTCTTTTCGTAACCACTATTTGTCGTTCTGATCGAAATCCTACTGTTATATGTTTAGATAATCTTTACGCATTGGACATTGCAGAAATTATTTTGTGACATTCATGTTTTTGTTCATTTACAAAACAAAATCTGCGGTTATGTGGTGAGGCGGCGGCGCCCACAAAATCGCGTCCGTCCCACGCGACCGAAAAGTGGAAAAGGGGCGTCGTCGTGAATGTGTTAAAAGGAAGATTCCATGATAAGGTAGGCCAAAGATGGGGATAGACCTAGTAGCAGACGGGCCCCTGAAGGATGCGAGACAATGTGCGATTCGTAGCCAGGCTCCTAGCGGCCTAGCAGCGCCGTACCCATGCCGCTGCCCGCTCAACTCCTCCGGATCTGACTCTAGCCACTTAGCAGAGTGAACGTTAGCACTGAAAAGACAGTAACAATGAGACCAATGCGAGTCAGGAGCAATGGGGGGTCCCATTTCTGTGGTCTGGTCCGTTTTTAAAGGCACAACTCAGGCACGGATTTGCGGGGTAAGAGCGATCGATAACGGATGTGAGTGTGCATTGTTGAATGGAAATGGAAGAAACAGCGAAAAAAAACCCGCGATGAAGCCTAAACAGGAACCTCCACTCTTCCAGTAACATCTCGCCTAGCCTTCAAGGGGAGGTGCAACCGGACGAGTTTTCCGAACTTGATATTAACACTTTGCTAGACCATTGGAAGAGTAGATTTTGAAAATGCAAGGTTTTGCAAAATGATACAACGAATAATAACAATAATAGTGATTTAGATAGAAGAAATTCGGTCATAATGCTGATTTAAAGAAAAAAAAACAACAAAAAGGTTTTGCGCAGCGGTTGTGCGCACTGCTGAATCATCTGATCGGAATAACGCCCAACGACCCTACAAGCAACAATGTGGGCGGCCCTCATTTCATGCACACTCGCCTCGCAGCTGCGGCGAACCCCACAGCTGCGGACAAGTCGGCCCGTGCATCTCGTGCAGCTTGGCTTAGAAGACCCTAGCGCCTTTTTCGGGCGCTTTCGTTGCACGGGACTGTTACGTTCGTGATTGTCTGCTGGGGCACTACCTCACAGGACGAAGAGGACCGCTCACACGGATTCTGCCTGGGGTATCGCTTTAATATTTTTTTCTGCATGACTAACCACCTCTAGCTTGATTTTTTGATGGAGTGCGTTTTCATCATAATTAGCCTTTAGGCATCTTTGGGTGGACGTTTCTGGAGGCTGGAGAAGTTCCTCTTGTCCGTCAGCTTTTGCGCTCATCAGATACTGTACGAAAGCTTTACTGGGTGATGTAGACTGGAAATTTTCATGTACATAGGTGTTTACAGAGACTATTTTCGAGAAAACAATCGCATGAAAAGAATAACCATAAAAGGTGAACATGTACTGGAATACAAAATAGGCAAAGTGGAAGAGTTTCAAACTATGATTTCGTAACTAAAATTCTTTATTGCTTACAAAAAATCGGCAACCCGAATGAAAACACATCAATGGACATCCAGGCACACAAATTCATACGGAATGTCTCCCAAATCGGAAAGAAAACAAATAATTTATCATCATGACACATTTCAATGGTATATGAGTAGATTTAAACATCATGGTATCGCATGAGCTTTCCAAGCATTGCTATTTTTCTAAGAACTTCCTGGTTTTCTGAAAAAAGGGTAATTTGATCTTGGACAAATGTGGGTTTTGCGTTCCATGAGAACATGTTCGTGATCGCAGGATATACTAACAAAATCAAATTGACTTGCAAAGGGAAACCGCTGCGTTTACCAGTTTGGGTTACGAAGATGGGTAAGTTCAAGGTGGGAAAGGTACTATATTTTTCGGGAAGAATAATGTTTTAATAAATACTTCGGATGCTTTGATGACTCTTTATTCTCTTTACTTGAATTTTCATGCCTCCAATGTAATATTCCGGCTTTTCTAAAAGCAAACAAGTTATCAACTCAATGTGGCATGCTGCGAATTGGCTGTGCTAGAGCATATTACATCGATCTACACACACTGACGCGCGCGCCGTTTTCGGAGCGTGGCACACATGTAACAGCGCGCGTATAACCGGAGATGCACATAGGCTGCATGGTCGAGTGGAACCTCCCCTAGACGTCTCCATCAATGATGTAGTGGTGATTTGTACGCAGTAAAAAGTATGGTAGAGAATCCACCTTCTAATGGTCAAACATGAGGCGATCTGTCAGCACTATCTTCTACCAAACCCTGCGTGGCGGCTTGCGTCTCATCGTCGCCCATATGTCGAGCCTTAAAAACAGAACTTTGCCGTCGAGGACCAAAAACCTAAATCACGTCAAAATCTGCACTGCAGTAATGAGTTTAATTGATATTACGAAAACTATTATAGTAATCCAAAAACCTCGGAAATTTTCGGGATTGGTGGCGCGTACGGTGAGGGATAGGTGGAATGGAATGCCGACGAATGGTTGGAGTCCGAACCTGAAACACAAGGCTACTCAGTGAAGATAGTCCACGAGTGTGTGTGAGGTGCTGGGCTAACCACACTCGATTTCATAACCAATAATTCAGTTAAGGAACGAGGGCAAACGGAATAGCACGTGGTTCTTATATTTGAAGTGCGTGTAGGATGGCATCCCGGCCGAACTGACTAAACCTGATATCCTTTCCACATCTGCTGGACCTTTTTTCTGGCAAGTGGGGAAGGTTCTCTCCTCCAATTCATCACCAACCACTGAGCCCATGAAACACCCTTGCACTTGATTTTTCCAAGTGCTACGTGCGATAGTGGCCCGAATTTCATGTTACGGCACATCAATCTAGACCCTGTTCCGAATCATTGAGTACATTTTATAATGAATCTACTTCTTGTGCTAAAATTAGCTGCTAATCTTGTTCATAACTAGAAAAGATCTGGTAAGGCTCGATCTAACGAAGACTAGACGAAGTCGCCAAGCGAGGGGCTGATTGAAGGCACATTGCGGGGTTAAATACGTGTCAGTAATTGCGTCCAAAGGTAAGAATGTTTCTGTTATTGGGACAGAAATGGTTGTCACGAAATTGGATGTCACAGGAAATGTGGGCGCGCCAGTCACAATTTAACATTTCTCCCCTCCACTACCTCATCGCATGCGTAAGTCTTACTTAATACATATCTCACTCTATACGGACCTTGAACGGTCAAAGGGCATTAAATGTTCGAATAATTGGAGCTATGTATAATAGGCGGAAGTGGTGTAGTGGCAAGTGGCACGCTTACCACGCGAGCGGTCCGGGGATCAAATCCTGGGTCGTGAGTCGCCCGGGCCAACCAAGCCTTCCATCCCGGGGTCGGTTGAGGAGGATAAAAACACTGACTTGTACATCGGCTGGCCCCGCAAGTCATTGTATAGGCCACATCGCATTCAAACGCCACTGCGAATGTACAAATGGAAGTAGAATGCGTGCCGCATCCCAAAAAGGGATTGATCAACGGCAAATGCTTTATCCTTTATCCTTTAAGAATAATACGCAACTTGAGCCAAATAGGTTGTTAAGTTAGTCTGAGATACCTGACGTGCCGAGGCCACCGGAGGTTTGCCATGAGGAGGAGTAGCCGTTCATTTGAGGATAACTGCTATCTATCTGATTAGAGAAACCAATGGAGCTGAATGCTGGCTGGTATGTTGTGTTATCTGAAACTTCTGCTGTTATATAAGTAATACGTTAGTGAAATGATTTAGTGGCCTCACTTCGATCCGGGATCGCTTGCGTTGATTGGGTGTAGTTACTGGACCGATCTCGCTTCTTACCAGTACTCGTTCCGTCTGATTTCGCTTTTCGTTTCCTTAAATGTACGTGTGCAAGCTCCATATGATTCTCATTACTACTGCTGTTGAGTGTGAATTTTGGTAAGTTTCTATAACCTAATGTACCTCGTTTGAAGCTGCCCGTCCTTTTTCATCGTTGGTGGCCGTTGCACATTGTGAAGCTTGTAATATAGCCCACATGCACTGGAAATAGGATGACTCATCATCAAAATTTGGTACAGCACTTGATGTGAAGAAAATTTTCAATTATTTAGGATTGAATCACTTTTCTCTATTGTATAAACGTACTTGCAAACTGGCTCTCCTTCAGCATTTCTCCTCCACAAAGTTGTATTTGTTCCACCACAGTTCGAACAAACCAGGCCTTGTCTCCTTTGCGAATTTTGCTAAAATAGAAATTTCTGACTTAACTGACATGTTTAGAAACATAATACTGTGTATTTCACAGGATACATCTTCCGTGACATACGGTAGCGTAGTATGTCACGTCGATGTCACTCAGCACCCGTATGGCCCTTAAAATTAAACTAACAAGGAAAGCTCAACTGGATAGTCCGTCATTCAGAATGGGATGCGCATTCATATACGTGCCTAGGAGCGCTAACTTCAAATTTGGTTTCTTCATCTGATACTATATTATAATACAGTAGATAATAACTTGTAAAAGTCTCTCTAGCCTGAAAACAGCAATTGTATGGACTCGCACTGAAGTATCCCTCGAACTCTTGCTTACTGCCGCTACGCTCTCCTGTTTCATAACTTTTTGAGAATCGTTTCGCAGTCAAGGAAGTCAGAGTAGACTAAGCGCTTGGAGCATGTAGATAAATATATAAAATTCAGTAGATCTCATTTTCAGCCCGGTCTGACCAATTCACCTTTTCTTTTCAGAAAGACCTTGCGTCCACTACGGATAAAAAAGGGCAAAAGAATTTCTCCAGGTGAACATGATTGGTAATTTGTACTCCACAAAATTGGAACTTACAGCAGCGGAAGGCTTCTTATGCGCCGAGTTGCCTCGTGATTTGGACACCGGCATCGCCTCAACCGTGTGCCGGGGCTCCATTGATGTGGGAGGATATAACTGGAAAACCTTTTCTTCCTTATTCACATGCTCTGCGTTAGTGTTGTATGTGTTACTGTGTATCTGTGGAGAAACTTGTAGATATAATCTTACAGTATATGTCGGCTTGTCCATTCCAAGATAGCAGTTGTCACACAGGTATCCACCGGTTATAGAGTGATTGTCACCACAAGACTCGCCACATTTCAGGCATTCTAGTGATGGTGCAGGTGGGAAGTAATGCTGGAAGAATAACGATAGAACGGCATAGTATTTTAATTATTTCTCTATCGTTGCATCGTGTAAGGCGGCAGGAGAGTTTGCGATGGAGTCGCGTCGCGGCTATCTCCAGAGGCTTTCGGGTACCTGACAGGAGGGGCGACGAGAAGGCAGAGACGCATACTGGGACGGACGAGTTGCGGCGCGTACTGTGAGAGTTAAATAATATACACCAAGTACGTCCCACATCTTTTAGCTCCCACTGTGACTCGTCCGATGACCCTTCTGCATCTCTGCCTTCTCGCCGCGCATCCTGTCGGGTACCCAAATTTTCCAGTATCGAGTCGAGTAGAAGAACGCTATGCATATCAATCAGAAGGGAAACGCTTGCGAAACACTCACCTGATTGAGATCAAATGTATTATTTGTGGTGTCAATGTAGTGAGTAGTCGTCGTTGCGGGATATGGGTGAAAAATGATATTCCTAAAGTAAGGCTTTCAAAGAGTCTGTGGTGAGGATAATTCCGCATGCGAATACACAAACCCATTAATAGACGACTGAGCCGGCTGGAAATTGAGATTTGGTTGTTGATAGCTGTAGATGTAATTGTTAGTGTATGACGGGATGCCCATACCAGTTATGCTCTCAACACTGTACGGCGACAAGGTCTCGAGTGGTGGAGGTGGATATCCTAAAGAAATAGCCAATGATCTCCATTGATTCGTCCTTTCTGGTTTGCACCGTTAGGTTGCAGCATAGATTTGAAGCGTGTCCACGAATTGATGCTTCCACTTCGCGTAAAAAACGGTAGAGATGGGAACACGCGGGATGGAGTGCTAATGAACGAGAGCAGGGAGAGTGAAGGTATTGTCGCTTTAAAGGAATCTTCCGCGGAAAAAGCTCCGCCTCCATTACCACAGAAAAACGATACCCCTTAGGCCCCTAGCCTCATGAGCATAGCAAAAAGAACGGAACATAAGCGTTAGTTTCGATAATACTAATCCTACACACAAGACAAAATGATCACTCTTTCCGTGGAAGATTTTAAGGTATCGTTTTCTGTGGTAATGAGGGCGGAGCTTTTTCCGTGGAGGATTCCTTTAATTTAGTTCTGCGAGTGTATAGTGCACGCGCGTCACGCCACCAACTTAGGCGCGCGGGTCGTGACCTAAAGGCACGTGCCCTTCCGTAGGCAACTGAAATTATTTGACGCATGCGGCATCGATGCGGTCACAAACTGAGTCGGAAAAATGCTTGGAGGATGCTGAGGAAATGATAGAAGATAATGGCGTATGACTGAAAGAACCTAAAAGTGATTCGCACCCAAAAAGGTGGCTTGCTTCACTTATGGAAGGGGTCAAAGAATATGGCATCGCATCCTCTTTTCTGCTTCAGAAGATTAGCCAACCTTGCCCCTGTGAAGTGATGAACATACTTCCCCATAGACATTTTCCTGGGTAGGGCCCCACAAAAAAGTAAGCTTGAGCAAACTTTATGTGTTATACATCGACTAGAGGTAGGAGCTATCGCGTGTGTTCTGTCGCTGCTCTAGTTTTCTACATCCAGTGCTTGCACTGCCCCATATGCCATTGCTTACCAGAAATAATGGAATAGTTCGGCCGGACATCAACTGCTGCTGGTTGGGGCTCGATCACGACAGACTGCCGAAAAGAGGGAGGCAGATCAGGCTCCACTTTCACTGGAAAAGTAACTATCTTTCTTCAATCAATTTTTCATGAAAGGCTCTGAAAATTTAAGAAAAAAAAACTAAAAAAAAAACTGGACTCGCAGCTTTGACGGCTGGCTCGTCTTCATCCCTCACTTCACAGTGAATTTTAGTTTTAAAAGCAATAAAAAACAGTGCTTGCAAAAAAAAAGAAAATTTTCATTTTCTTGCTATGTGGCACGCGTCATTGAAAGGCCTAATGAAGGTGGCGCACTAGAAGTGACTCCTGTATTGATGAGTGTCCAATTTTCTTACTCCCATTTTCAAAGTGTGTCAACTACAACTCCATATATTTATCCTAGTTGTCAAATTCAGCTTGTTAAATTCGTCTTAAAATTCCTGGAAGCATCTAGTTCAAAGATCCAAACTTAAAATTTCTCTTATGACAGTTTGATTAGACCAGCAGTTTGCCATAAGGTCGAAAGCAGGCCACGCTACGCGACCTGATGTCACATGTTCGTTTAAACCAAAATATGTACCGCGCAGCAGTTCTCGCAACGCAGCGTCGCCGCAGTCATAACTACCGACCAACCGGATACCCGACAGGAGGTCCGTCGCCGTCGTGTGGCACGAGGAAGAGTCAGGGGACGAATAAAGCGCATGATTGTGCGATATAGGACGTACAGTGGTACATTCTCCTCATACTGACACGAAATCCTTACAGTTTGCGCTGCTCCTCGTCCGCTGACGTTTTACCGCGCGACGGGCTTCCTGTCGGATGCCCTTGACCAACCCCAACTCATAGCGGACTACATCTCCAGCCCTACCGCACTTTCAGCGAAGGTCAGCAAAGCATTTGAATGCGAGTGAAAAAATATATTTCAAGTCATGGCCCGCGTTCAAAACGACTCATCGGTAAGTCGAATGTGTGATGCAGCTGTATGTCACAACTTGGGAGTTGAAGCTGGTCTTTTTTTAGATTACTAATATTTTGGTCCTAAAATGATCCTATAAACAAAACCCAAGCCAGTTTCTCACGAAGAGTTTGACCACCCCGCGCACTCTTACCTTTTATAAAGCCTCCGGATGAATTCATGGGAACGGACACGTCTGGGTAGGAACCTTGTTTCTGGAAAATATCGTTGGTTGACGGTGATGTCGGATCGCCTACACCAAAACGTGTCCGATGAGAAGCATGAGGTGCACGGATGAAAGCCCGAGCAAAGAAAAGAAATGAGTAGCTTTAAGAGTAACGGAGAAAGGAGTATTTCAATATGAGAAGTTCGCAAAACACGCCAAAGATAGACTTTGAAATATTGGAGCACTGGCTTTGAGCAGAAAGGTGAGCTGGGCTAAAGTGCACAGCAAGCTGAATACACAACATTTGACAGGAAAACTGCTCAACACAAGGATCGAAGGGAAAAAAGTGGTACAACGATGCGTATTGTGATTCCAGGAACCTCGTCGAGTGATGAAAACCAACGATTAGCCGTCCAGACTCCCTTTGGAAGTGTTTCCTTAGTGCAATTACCGTAACAGATAGCAGAGAAGCGGCTCCCATGCTTAGCTCTTATTCAAACCATCAGAACTGCGAGTGCTGGCGATGACATCTTGTCGAAGGATGCTTCTTATCAGTAACAGTGTTATCGATTGAACGAAAATTCGAGTTGACAGAGCTAAAGCTACCCCTTGAGGTCTTCAGTGCTTCCTAACACCGCAAGAAATCGCTTGAATATATATTTGAATTTTGGAGGCCTACATTATGCAATCTATGGGAAATTAGGCGAGATAGATATATAATAAAATCAGATAAGCTATCACTAGGTGGCCGATAGGTGGAGAAACCAGTCCGAATGGACCAAGGATTTGTAACTGCTGAAAAATGGACCTAACCTTCGAGGAAAAGCGTACTGTGAAATAACTATGATGTATTAGGAATGGGAAATTGTATTTGCAATCAACATTGTTACCGAACCGATTTGCTAACTGTATGCAGCTCAGATGGCACGTTATTTCACGGGATGAAAACGGTCTTGAACAATCGTTTGAATAATGAAACGCACTGCGTGTTAGCTGTTGTACATCTTTCTCTTCTTTTTCCGCCGGCTGAGTGGGAAGTTGAAGGGTCATGCGAGGTCTGTCGGATGTTGTCCACGCTGCTGGATAAGCCAACGACTGACTTTCATGAGAGTTCTCCATCTGAGCACAGTATTCCTTTTCACAGTCGAGACTTCCACCCCCTGCTTCACTTCTGAAACGCGTCAAATAGTGGCTAAGAAAACTTAAAGGAAAAAATAGCGATAAGATAATCAAACTATTTGGCATGCCTGTAATTCAAAGGGGTCACTGGGGTTAGCGCTCAACACTGCAGCATGAATTGTGGAAAGAACGCTAGAAAGTCAACTGGTAATTAAAGGAACATTGTCAAGATGAGCGCTGCACCTCTATTGTTTATGTACCTCTAAAAGTAGGCGTGGCCGTATGTGACGATTCCACCATTTAAAACCGTCGAGCACCGACAGTATACGGTAAGGGATAGTGTGATCAATAATTATACTCCCTTCATTGATTCTCGTAGATCATTGAAAGCTTATTTGGGAGTTATCAATGAACAGCAAACATCACGCAGAACCTTCCTAAGGTGTAAACGACTTTGATTGTTGTAGATAAATTTATCAGTCTGAAGCTATCAGGACCAGCGAGGTATAAGGCCTTTAGGTATGATAACCTATCAGTGTCAGTTTTCAATTTTATTCGTCAATCAAGGGGCTGATTTACTCTGTTGGCCATCCCTTCATCATCATTACATGTTGTTGAAGCAATGTTAACAAGTATAAGTTTATGTTATATGTTACTTTAACCTACTCATTTCCATGCATTTTTATTTCGTTTGAATTCACTTAACTTTTCTCACCGTGCCTAGAAGTTTTATGTTTTTCCAAAATCCTAAAAATGTAATTTCATTTGAAGATATTATCCCATCTCTCCAAAAATGGATCAGATTACTAAGGAAGCCAATCAATAATTATATGTTGCACACGAGAAAAATATTGGACACTGAGGTTGTAAGCAAATTATGTCAGTTATCTAGAGAGCTTGGAACCACGATCGCCAGTAGTAAAGGTGTGAATGTAAATGCTTGGATGCGTTCATTGGTCAGGTGACTCATTTAGCCTGTCGCGGCTACAGTATACCATTTGATGCCTATCAACGAAATGACGAAGATAGTTATAAAGTGATCATTTACAACCGAACAGCGCATACTAATGTCGTGTACCAAGAATTCAGGAAAAAATGAAACTCTTCTGCGCCGTAGAAAAAACAACAATACAGAATTTAGCATGAATTCCGGCTCTATCTGACGATGAAATATGAACACGGGGGGGGGGAAGGAAGGGAACTCAGGAGTTCACAGGAAGCGGATTTAGCGCATAATAGTTTTTGTGAAACACCAAACTTTTTCCCTGTCTCCCCTTCTCTCCCCCCCCCCCCCAACTTTCTCTCATTCTATGGGTAGAGATATTACTTTTTATAGAAGCCAAAAGGATACATGAGAAGCTGTGGAAATTATAGAAGGTGGAGGGATCGATAAGAGTAATCGAGTGAGCTGTTACTATGTGTCAACCTGGTATCTTTGAGAGGTGGCAACTCTGAACACCTCGAGTGAGATTGGAAAAGAGTGGCGATGGTGGGGTGACCCTAAGAGGGAAAGTATCTTATCATAACGAGGTTTCCCTCGGTCATGAGCGCGTTTGGTACACCACATGTCTTCGAATATGAGTTGTTTGACTAGCCGACTGACCAGGTCCTCGGCACTTATTTATCGATGTGAAGATTGAAAATTTGTAGCCGAACTCACTGGATAAAGCCAACCTTCCAGGGTAGCCATTTAGATTCATAATGAGTTTTCGGTGATGCAAGCGGCACCGGCGCTTCAGCGCGCGCTTTAACAACTCTTCTGATTACCTGCTTCTGAACCGTTATGAATATCTTGGAAAGATTTCGGCTGCGTTGTTTAATAGTTCTTCGGAAAATTTCGCTAAGGTCGTAGAAATTGTAGAAACTGAGCCAGTTAGGCCACTCGTTGACTAATAGTTGGGTGTAGCGGACTTGAAAGTAAATGAGATTTTCCTGTTCTGCTCAAGAAATTACTTTTTCAATTTCGTAACAAGCACCTAATATTAATAGGTAAACAAGTTCGAGCAAGTTCTGCTTCGCTTTGTAGCCGCTATTTCTGGAGCAGGGGAGAATAGCGTTGTGAAAAATTCCTGCGATTCTAAGCATATAAATTTCAAGACCTCAATGGTACCCTCAGCCTGTTGAATTGCTACGGCTCTTTGAGAAAAATCACTAAATGTCAATAGTTGATCAAGGATTGAAGGACAAGGCCTTCAGCGTTGATCAATCCCTTGTGGAATGTTCTATGCATTCTACTTCCGTTCATAATCGTAGTGGCATTTGAATGCGATGTGGCCTATACAATGACTTGCGGGGGTCCGATGAACAAGTCAGTGTTTTTCATCCAACCCAGACAAGTCTGGTACCAATTAGAGCGACCCGATGGGAGGAAGGATTGTGGCCTGGGTGAGATTCGATCCGAGTGGATTCATTTGCTATTACACAACATCCGTCCTAAATGATAATTATAAATTAACGATTTGTTGAAATATGAGAAAATTGACAGCCAGTGGTTAGAGCATCATAAATCCTTCTTGCTGCACTGACGGTAGTCCATACGGAAGTAGGTGAGATTTTCCAATTACGTGGTGTTCTGGCACGCAGTTTGGCTACATCCTGGAGGAATATTGTCGCTGTCTGTCAAGCTTACTGGTTCGAAGTTTTTCAAGGTTCGGGTTGCGTGGGTTGCGAGCCATTTGGTGAACGCGGAGATTCTGTGGTGACCGTCTGGGCAGAATTCCGCACCTCAAAACGCTATGGCTCTTTGACGTTACGCCAGGAACCGAATTTGTGAGTGTGAGATCTCGTCGTAGTCATCGGCGCATTATCTATTTAAGGTGATTTGCGTTGCAGAGCCGAATCCGCTGTGTGGTGCAAATGGAAGAAAAAAAAGCTATTTCGTGCAGATGCAAGGAACGCTCACTACGGGTCCCGTGACAGTCTCGATGCTTGATGTTTTACCGTTTCCCCTTCCCTTTCCTTGTGGCCTTCAACGAACAAATGCTGGCAAGACCGCAGCGTTACACGAAACACTGCGATAGCTCACACGCATGTCGCTTGTTAGGGGTCAGAGTTGGAAGCATATAGCAATGACAATTCTCGTTAACACCATTATTTTCAGAGTTATATGAATAGGGTTGGCGCTACCTTCAGGGTTTGATCTTCACCGACAACAGTGCGGCTACCTGCACCATTTTAGATCAGACATGATGTTCTGGCGAGCGATGTTGCGCCGCTAGCTCCGCACAGCCAATGGCTGTTTCTCTTTGCTCAGAAGAGAAGTCCATACATGCGCATAAATGGAAAGGAGGGCCAGCACACATGGTTCGAGAATGTTCAGTCTAGGAAGCCATAGAATTGTGGAAAAGTTGGACGTCCTGAACTCAGAAGAGAAGTCCATACATGCGCATAAATGGAAAGGAGGGCCAGCACACATGGTTCGAGAATGTTCAGTCTAGGAAGCCATAGAATTGTGGAAAAGTTGGACGTCCTGAACAAGGAGATATTTGTTCCATGCTTCTGAAATTACTCCCAATTGAGTGTAATTTCAATTATTTAGAAGTAGAAAAAATATAGAAAAACGAACTCGGCTGATATTTTCAGTCAAAAACCCAATACTACGTCCGTCGGGAGCAAGTTTGTGTTTTGAATGCTTACAGTTATTGGAATTCTTTGAATTTGTTGACTACACTCGGATTAGAATGGGGTCCCTACATATTTACTGTTTACTAATGGATATTTTACACCTACATGGGTATGGGCACGTTTGAAAGTCGAGAGTGAAGCCTTGAACATATGGTACGCTGGTACAATTGGGACTTATAATACGAGCCTCATTGAATGCCACTGCAAGAAGGAGTGGAGTCAAAGGCGTGGTTCATCCAAAAAACAAGATCGTATTTAGTCGAGTGCTTTATTTTTAAAAAAAACTAATCTTTCAACCTCAAATAACTGAGTTCTAAAATCATTTGTTCTGGAATCACATCAGCCAAAATATTGTTTCTGCGACAAAGCTCCTATCGTGAGAGGTCTGAATAATTCCGAGACCTTTGTCGAGTGTCATTGAAATGAACATTTGAAATATTTTCTGGTAACTGTTTTAGCAGTTGTTACGTAGATGAATTCCTATTTCATTCTATGAAAGTTCAGATCAGAGAATGTTAGCGAATCAGTAATTTAGGGCGCGATCTGAATTCAAAAACTTCATGAACTGTAACTTCAGAATTCTTAGCTGAGCGTGATGCCGCACTGAAATGGGGAGCGGGGAGAGCAAATTGCTCGCAATTCGATGGAATTTATCACTCAAAACGTATTGGCCCCTGATAGTCGTCTACAGATAGATAGATGCAGTATAGATATGTCTAATCAAAAATATTGTGCAGATAGCCCAGTAGTGTGTGTTTGCGGACGTGGTGAAGTTGCGAAGCCCATGTTTCCGTCCTCACTTTCACTTTGTATACTCCTGTATTGTGCAGGATCCACTTTACCGTTTATGCTCTTCTGTCCATCTTATGTTTCTTACGTTGTTTTGTATGACTGTGTTGGTGAAATTTTGTCTCAAAAAAATTCAACTTATCGTATCAATAGTTTCCTTCCGAATACTTTAATTCTGAAATGCTAAAGCCGGACCTAACATCAAATCCTCTGCACTCGTCATTACCAACCTTCAGATATCTAGTGGGGCTTTCATAGAACTTTGTGCTGCATGAGAAGAGCGTTTTTTTAAAGGACCACGTCAGAAATCGTAACTTGTTCGGCCCTTTCATTCGGTTTCTCTACTGTGCACTAATTATGAAAATAGAATTATATTATATTACCTATAAGACATTAAAGACTGCCACGAATGGAGTTATTTCTGCATTTTGGCGTGCTTTGGTATCTCCACCCAGCGCAGACTCCAAAACCTCGAATACTGCAGTAGTTGCTATTTTTGACCTACTAGTAGATATGCTTCTGAATTTTCACATCTCTACTCACAAACTCATTCTGAAAAAAATTGTAATGTTAAAAATTGCTCTACA